AGACATAGTCCTGTAGTTCTTAGAATCTTTCTTGTTCCCTCTTCTGGGATGGTCTCCAAGCCTTAGGTGTTCAAGTTCTGTCATAGATGTATCTGCTGTGTCTGGGCACCCACCATGATTCGGTCTCTGCATTTTTGACCAGTTGTGGATTCTTTGGCGGTCTCATATACCATAAGAAGAAGCTTTGGTGATGAGAAGTGAAAGCTACACTTTTTTGTATGGATATAAAGATAGCTATGGAATATCTAATATGCATTTAGGAAAAAAAAAGTGTTCTAACAAAACCCCAAATGGCTAGAGGTAATGCAGGTCTTCCAAGAAAGGATACATTCTTTTTTTTTTTTTTTCTGTAGACCAGGCTGGCCTCGAACTCTGAAATCTGCCTGCCTCTGCCTCCCAAGTGCTGGGATTAAAGGTGTGCGCCACCACCACCCGGTGAAAGGATACATTCTTATGTGTATATGTGTACATATATTTGTGACATTTACTTGTTTTACTTGGCTAAATCTCAATTGGATTTAAGCTGCTTATCATTATTGAAGATGTTCTTGCAAAGCACAAATGGTTCAAATAAGCCTCTGACTCTGCTTCAGGTCTAGAGTTCAAGGGACACAAACTTGAGATTTCATGCAGATTTCTTGCTTTTAAATATGTTTGGAGCATAAAGCTGTCTTGGAGTTTGAATGAAGTTATCAAAAAGTGTTTAGGGGACTGATATTCTCACTTCCATAAGAACTTAGACTAGTTTTGGGATATTTGACAGGATATATGGCTAATAGTTATACACAACAGCATATGTTATCATCCTATTTGGATGACTAGAACTAAGTTCTATAAAATATATTTTCTTATAGTTGACTGCTAACATGAATGAAATTGAGGACTTTGTATATAACAAAGTATTGCCTATTTATTAAATAGTACCACTAGTCTAATTTGAAAGCAGGGCACCCACACACACACACTGTAAGAGAACTTTTAGAATATAAATAAATTACCTGAAATGGTATTTTCAGATTTTAATTCCTGTTTATAAGATGAAATTTCTCAAAAAAAAAAAAAAAAGAGTACCATACAAAGTGTGCCTTGGGATTGCCAAATCTCTGCTAATTTTTAATTCTGTTTAGAGATACATGGATACATGCTTCACTTTCTGTTATTAAAACAAGGTGGCCATTTGTAGTTAACTTTTCTTAAAATGTGGTTTTTCTCAGCGTTTAATTCATTTAAATGAATACATTGTCTCATCATATAGCCCCAGATGACCTGTATCATGTACCAGTCATGGGACTTGGTGTGGAGATTGCTTTCTTTATCTGGCATAAATTTAAATCTTGTTCTTACCAGTAAATTGCTGTCCATTATACACAATGTGCGCACATTCAGAAAATTGGATATTTTACTTCTATACTATATTTATATAGTTTTAATTTCTCCTAATTTTGGTTGATTTAACACAATTTTATTTATAGAGCAGTTGTTCTCAAGCTTCCTAATGCTGTGGTCCTTTAATATAGTTCTTTATGTTGTGGTGACTCCCAACCACAAAATCATTTTCTTGCTACTCCATGATTGTAATTTTTCTACTGCTGTGAATACTAATATAAATATCTCATATTCAGGATATCTGATATGTGACCCCCGAAGGGCCCATGAACCACGGTTTGAGAACCACTGTTATAGAGGAATAAGCAAATGATGAAACAGTTTAAGGGACTTAGGAAATACCTTGAAGGGTGGATAATTAATTGCTTTTGATTTTTAAGTCTGTGAGGTTTACATTTTATGTATGACAGTCATGTAGTCTATTGAGGAAGAATGGTTTGTTTTTTTGAGATGAAGGAAACACTGTTATAAACCTGTTGGGAATCGTGCAGTTACTGATAATCAGTCTTAAAATTTGTATGGTCTGTTGTCATCATTCACTCCGATGGTGTCGGAATATGTCTCATATGCGTTCTTAACATGAATGTGAATTACACCTCTAATATTTCACCGTCACATGATTTTGTGGCGAATAACTTTCCTTTAATACTATGTATATGCTAAACTTGGCAAGCGTAGCAATCACGTAGATTATTAAATGGACATGAGAAGTGTGAGTTTTAAAAAAAATCTTAGTAATATACTTGTTCAATCAAAGCATTCTATTCGGACCATATTTATGTTCAATGATATTGGTTCATTCTATTGGAATCCATTGTGCTTTGACACTAGAAATCAAAACTATGAAATTTGGAATCATGATAATGCATGTTAATACATTATTATACATGGTAATCATAGGAATTTAATTTTACAACTATTTGCATAAGATTCATGACCCACATAGATGACACAGATGTTATTTGGAAGTTGAAAATAAATTTGTGCATTGAAAATGCATAGTGTATGAAAATTTTTACAAGAACTCTATGCTTGCTATCTTTAATTAGCCTGTTTTTACAAAAGTGTGGAGTACTAGACCATTTTAAAATGTTCAAAAATATCATAATCATAAAATTACTTTAACATAGCTATGTATGAATAGCTATATATGCCAAGTGATATGCTATTTTGTTCTGATTTAATGAAAACAGTGAATTAGATCTTATAGAGGTACATTGAATATGCAGCCAAATGTTTACATGTGTTCTAGAAGCAATCTAATTGAATTTATTATTATTTTGAAGCCATACAACGCAGTATTTGATACCTTTAATCATCTGTATGTACTCAGAATATTTTATCAGGGAGCATTGTTTAAAAATATTTTAAAGTAAGTTTTGTTGAGTCTTTTAAAATCATCAATGACAGAGAAATGTAAATTAGGAGGACGAATTTTAGTATTTAAAAATTTAGTATCTTACACATGCCATAATTATATGTGCAGAAGAAACAACAGATTAAAATTACATGCTTTTAACTATTTTAACACATTTTTAAGCAAAAATAATGCAATTTAATAGATGACTGTGAAACTGTTAAAACATATTCAGAATTCAGAGGCTTAATGTCTTCTAAAATAAATAAATTTTCTGTGATCTATTATTGATTTTTTACATATTCATTTTCCTGTAATATTTAGTATACATCTGCAGTTCTAGGTATGATCAAAGGTTATCAAAACATATGGCTACAAATCTGTAGCATTCAAGATGTTTTCCCTATATAGCTTGTAACTGATGCAACACCAGTGATTGAAAGGCCTGTTTTCATAATATGAGGAGTGTTATTGAATTTTACCAAAAATATCAACCTTTTAGTTCTTTGCGATATGAGGAACACTTTGTGTATAAAAATAGTCAGCATATATAAGTGTTTAGACTTATGTAGGTAAGTGAAGTCAAATACAGAATTGAACGATCATAAGAGGAAGGGAATGGGCCAAGAAGGAGCCCGAGTATATAGATTTCTTATAGTAGTGATGCCATCAAGGACTAATTTTTCCTCTACATCTCCTGAAGAGTCTTATCCGGTCTATGAACCTAAGTTTTTTAAAGATGAGCAAGACATTAACAGTGTATCAAGTCTTTTTACAAAGTATGTGGAACTTAGAGAAAGACATTTATGAATGGCAATAACCAGTCTGTCAATAAATTCACTAGTACTTCAGTGTTCGTGTTTTATTTTGTTTTCTGAAAGGAACTGATGATTAGCTACTTGAAAATAAGTCTGGGAAGTTAAACAGACAGGAAATATATAATACAAAAGTTCTTAATTTTGAAACTATGTGCATTTCATTAATTGGAGATGTCCCCTAGACATTTAGAAATTGACAAATTTTGATATTGTACCGTTTGTGCATTCAAAAAGTAATTTATGAGAAATATTTGGATCCCAGATGAAGTAATATTTTAAGAGAATACTTCTCACTGGTCACATGTCTGGCATTAGTACCTGCACAGAACCTACCATTATCTCTATAAACATATATTTCAATATTTACTGTAGTGATTATAATATTTATTTTTTTTCAAATCAAAAATGTGTAATAGAAAACTGCAGAGATAACTGAAGTCGAAATGTGTGGACTTTATGACAGCAGAGTTTACAAAGTTTTGAAATTATTATGAATTGCATTTCTCCAGTTGTCTTTTCTCCCATGCCTGTCACTAATAAGAATGCCTTTATTGCTGAGATGCAATTGTAAGCCAAATGTGTTTTTCAAACAGTTAATAGTTATGTGCTTTGGGATTAGCTAGAATACTTTACCAACTCTCTGATAATTTTTATCATCTTTGGAGGTACATAGAGAGAACATTTTCATTGAGATAATCAAGTATTAAAACATGAAGGTAAATTTGCACCTGAATTTTAAAAATGCTGTTTTGCTCAGGCCTTTTATCTCATGAAAACATTCCTCTTTCCTTTAAAACTTTCTTCTTTTCTAAGTTTCTTTCTTTGGCATTATACTAGAAGTACATATTAAAATAAATAAATTAATGTATACAATGCTCGAGCTTTTTAAAGTTCCTTATGTCCTTGGTAATACTGTTGGAATACAACGTCATCTGCAGACAGCCCTTGCTAAGCTGCTCTTGATAGTTTACTCTTTGGTAAGTATTACGTTGGTGTGCCATATTATCAGTTAATGAAGGAGGATATGGACCACCACCGCATGACTTCAAAAGATAGGCAGATGAGTAGAAATGAGAGCCTAAAAATTAATTATTTCCCAACTCAAAGGATAGACTTTCTGCCACTAGATGGCAGGGTATAGCCTGATACAGAGTTTTGTGATGCAAGACTGGACAGGTGAACCCTGTAGCTTCACGTCAGATGTTCCTAGGATGATTGGCGACACTAAAGGATAATTCTTGATTGTCTGAAGTACACTTGTATCTCTTGTTCCTTCATTGATGTGATTCGAGCCTTAACTTTCAGAAGCCAATTGTATATTATTAGACTGGGATGCAAATGCAAGTACCCTAAACTTTTTTCCCATGGACTTGAAGATGTAATGCTGAAATCAGTGCATTTTCTATTTTAACCACTTTTTGTTCTTTTCCACCGCACAGGTGACTTGGATTATTACTGGTTGGATCCTGCCACGTGGCACAGTAGGGAAACGTCGCCTATTAGTTCGGTAAGTTTTCTGGCAGCATATATAGGTCAAGATTTATATGTGGATTGATTATCTTCTGTTTCTCTCTCAATAAACATCTTTCTGGATCTATTACACATTCCACTACAGCCATTATTAATTTAATTCAAAAGGACCACTTTGAAGAGAAGGGTAGTTATCTCTGAATACTCAACAAGTTTTAAATTAAGAAGAGCACATATATTCATCCTACTTACTCATTATTATTATTATTATTATTATTATTATTATCATTCATTACTATTCTAAAATGGAGAGAACTTAAAAAATGTTCCCTTGAGAAATCTGAGAGTGTTTTACATGTCGTACTGAAAATGAATTTTCTCAATAATCATAAAATATTGCCATATTCTTGTAGTAAATAGATCTGTTAAGATTCAGATCCTAGGATCAAAGTTAGATAACAATGCTGTTTACACAAATTACCTTATGAAAGCTAAACCATTAATGACTGCTCCAGAAAAGCAAGTCCATCCCATAACAATGTACAAATAATGTGATGGTACCTAGTTTAATTCTGAGTTCATATACACTAACATTTACTCCCTGGTTGAGTTTCCGCGCTCAGTTTTCCCTTGCCTAGGAACTTTAAGATTGCTTCAGAGATAATGCATATGCAAATTAGAAGTGAGAGTACAGGTTTTTTTTGGAGGGGGGACTGAGTTAGCCTGGATGACATGCCTTCTGTAGATAAGAACAAGTTACAATGATGGTTAATTAGTTTAACCTCTTCTCATTGGAATGTTTTCATGCAGCACTGGGTATGTTGGAAAGAGTTTCATCCAGTAGTTTCTACACACACACACATGCACACACACACACACACAAACACACCACACACATATCCAACACACACACACCATACATACACACAACACACACACAACACAAAATACACATACAACATATACAAACACACCCAAAACACACACATACACACAGACATACAACACACACACACACACATACACAGAGACACACCACACACATATCCACCACACACACACACACACACCATACATACACACAACACACACACAACACAGAATACACATACAACATATACAAACACACCCAAACCACACACATACACACAGACATACAACACACACACACACACACACACATACACAGAGACATACAACACACACACACACACACACACACACTTACATATATGGACAACCACAAGTAAACAGATAAGCACACTCAGAGACATAATCACGGAGAAAGAAACACATGCACAACAATACCTAGATACACACACAAACACACAAGAGTCTTGCCCATCGCACTGAATAGGTTTGAGATGTTGCACCACACAGTGTTTAACCTAACTTCTGAAGAAAATATTTTTAAAGACTGGAGGAGAAATCTTGGAAACTTTTAACAAAACCAAGTTCAAATATTTGGAATTAAATTACAAGTTCGATCCCCAGAACCCACAATGTGAAATGAAGGAATTGTAAGTTGTCCTTTGATCTCTGCGTGTACATCGTGGTATGTGTGCTTCCCTGCATCAACTAATGAAAGGTAAAATATTATTGCTGGAAGGTGTTTCCCACACCTTTTCTACTTAATCTATCAGTTTCCTGCACAGTGCACTGCAGGACACTGGCCGTTTACAAACGGCACAACTGTCTTTCTGTCACTGCTCAGCATCAGGACAAAGGAGCACATAACAGACATATCACAACCTGGTTAAAGTTAACTCACTGTGGTATCTACTGAATGATAGCACTATTGTAGAACCATAAATAAAATTAGATTGTAGGGTAAGCCAGTGCAGCTCAATATATTATCAGCATTAACAACTCAAACGTGGTTTTTCCCTATGTGTACTAAGGAAGTTATTATCCTCTCAGTCACTTATATTTCAGAGCCATTTTAGAGACTGTCTTTGGTGGCTAACTCCTTTTATAATCGCTGCAAATAAAATATACTTCTAACTGAAAAACTTCATAAGCTTACTACAGAGTCCCTTTAAGTAAAGAATTCCCAATCTAGTGTGTTTTAGCACCCCCTGCCAAAAAAATAACTTACCATTTTACAACTACTGCTAATGTAGCTATAGAAAATAAAACAAGACATTCCTTTTTCAAACTTTATGTTTTGATAGCATCCTGTAACGTGGCAGCCATCTAAAGAGGGAGACCGATTAATTGGCCGTGTTATTCTTAACAAAAGAACAACCATGCCCAAAGAATCAGGTGCATTATTGGGTCTGAAGGTAGGTATACTGGTTCGTTTTGCCTCTTTCAGGATAAAGTACGGTACATACTGCATTCGCAAAGTATACAACAATTGGTTTTTAACTATTTTCTTTTCCAAAGTAAATTCTCTCCAGTGAATACAGTTAACCGAAATGTTTAGCAGAAACATAAAGTATGAGTAAGGGAAAAGTTTTCTAATAACAGTATTCTTACAATAATGTTGAAAGTATAAAAGTTTATTTTAAACACATTTATTGTCTTCCAACAGAAATAAGGATGTTAGGTTTGCAAAGATCTTCCTATTTTGTAGAACACTGTATATGTGGGCACACATAGGCATATCTTACATTATGTATATCCAGATATCCGTGTTAAATCAAATGACTGTGCTGGAAGTTCCCTAAATAAATATTTAAAGATTTTGCTTGACATATTGTTGCTGTTGCGTGTGACTTGTTGAGAACTATTGGCCATTAATTTAGGAAGTAGGTTTAGCTCATATGTGGGGTCGTTGCCTGGCGTACATGAAAGCCCTCAGTTTGAAACAAAGCACAGCATAGCAAAAATTAATTCATGTACTTATGTATATTTTATAGATTATTAGTATTAACTACTCTATTAAATAATTCTATTTTTTAATAATTAAATAATTATATTATTTAATAATTAAATAATTCTATTAATAATTATGGTATTAAGTAATACCAGAATTAAATAATTAAATAGTTTTGGTACCCTGTATTAATAGCTCTGTTCCAAATAACTGTGGAACAATCTCACCACTCAATATTATTCTACCTGCTTCCTCTCTCTCCCACCCATCTTCAATTGTGTATACTTGAGACCCTTGCACCAGGCAAAATTGCCTGGAGGTTTATTTCAAATATAGTAAACTTAAGTATAATGGAAAGTGTTGAATGTTTAGCAATATAATTCAGATTTGAGAGTCAAGTTACATGGCAGGGTATGGCAAATGACATTATCCAGATGTTTTGAACTAGATATGTTGAAGCTAAGACACTTGTACAGTGTAACACTTTGTACAATGACAAGTCACTCACTCCAGGTAGCCTTGCTTGGGTGGAATCTGTATGAGCCCAGGTCTAACACAGTTATAGAAAAATGCCAGTGTTTGATATGGACATGGGGTATATCTTTATGCAAACATGCTGACTCACATGTAAGCACGATATGGAAGATTACTGAATTCAGTGCAAACAGCGCCGAACATTCAGTGACTAACCATGACCAGAGAGTTATATGCCTGTCTTCGAAGTGTAAATCATCACAGTGCCCTTTGTTAATACAATATAAAAAGTCAGTACACAGTCTTTCTTACATTACCATCCTATACAGTGGTTTTTAAAAGTAATTACTACTATTTACTTCAATAAAAAAAAAATACAGTTCATGAACGTCCCTGAGCTGAGTTGTAAGCATGCTTGAAGATAGTGTACAGTTAGTTCTGCTAACTAATATATTCGTGAACGAGTGGGAGGAGTTCATCAATTTGTCATTATCCAGGTCGTTGGAGGAAAAATGACGGACTTAGGGCGCCTTGGTGCTTTCATCACCAAAGTAAAGAAGGGTAGCCTGGCAGATGTCGTTGGACACCTAAGAGCAGGTAAATTTCCTTTTTTTTTTCATATATAAGTGATTTTTTTTTGGTCTGTGTATATATTGAAGAGTTTTAGTCTGAGTTCAGTCATTTAAATTTATGAGTTGTCACCAAGTCCTTATAATGTGTAGGTCCATCTCTATTTCTGATACAGATATTTACCCATTCAATTGTAGGTTCTGTGCATAAGTAGCAATGGAGAGATGGTAAGGTTAGGGATCTCTCTTATTTATATAAAAACATCGATGGAAAACAATGAAAGAATGCCTATTCTATAAACCATAATACTAAAACAAAAATCCAAACGAAAAGTGTAAAAAGCACATTCCACACCACTAAGTCTTTTGTAATGTGTCAAAACAGCTATTAAGAAATTGGAAGTTATATTTCTTGCATATAACCCAGTTATAATAATGACTCCTATACAAATTTTTTAAAGAAATAGAGGTTAATTGAAATGTTACAAATTATGTCACTTCTATAGTGTTTGGGTGTTTTTATTAATATTTTTTTCTTTATATATCCTTAACTGACACTGGAAAAGTAGATCACCAAGTGTATGATATATTCAGTTGCAGCACAGTTTAAATTTTATTTTAGCAGCTCCTTTTTAATTTTAGTTGAGATCATAGTAACATTTTTAGTTGCTCTCATTGTAGGCAGTGGGTAGCTGTTCCAATAATGGTAATCTTTGACACAAGAGTAAATCTGAAAAGCTACAGGAATCCCACAGTAGCCAAAGCTAGCAGATGTGAGCTGTGGAAGGCAGTGTTCGCAGATGAGAACAGTATGACAGCTTTTGAAGGTGGTTGTTTTCTGAGAAGGTTCCAGAAGAAGTGAGTGAGGTGGTTGTTCTCTCAGATATAACCTGTTGTTTCCACTTCTGTAACATCCTCTTGATGTGCAGAGAACCAGACAGTATAAAGCTAAACCGATGAAGGCTCATCTGAGATAACTGTAAAACATACAAGTCTCCTTTATCCTTTAAGCAATTGACTTGGACAAAATAAAAGTGCTTTTTAACTTAGAATTTTATAGACCCAATGATGGAGACTATTGTGTATATATATTCTAATGTACAAACTGGCTTCTCTTCTATTTCCATATAAACTGCTTTAGGCTTTAAAAATCACTTCTGACATTATTGATTGATTTTTTTGATTGATGATTGAGTGATTATTGATTGATTGACTCATCTTTCCTGGGAACAGTACTTCCACCTTCTTTAGATTTCTACAATTTGACTCCTCTTCACGTCAAAGTGGTTCACTGCTGCTGGGTTTCCTCTGAAACATAAAGCCCACACCCTCACCCTTGTTGATCCTTCTGTGCCTCTAGCTTATCTTATTTTCAACTCAAGAGCTTTGTAACTCTGCCCATTGTGAGCCTACAAAGATCCCTGGTTAGGTCAGTCTACCTGTATCCTGGCAAGCTTCTGCCTGTCCCCATCAAGGTTTCCTCAGCACCAGCTGCCAGATTGTTGAAATATTTTCCATCCTTCAACGTTCATAATTCAAGTGTTTCTTGATATCTTCCATAGAACCGTAACTAAAATTCCTATGCTCCTGTTACCACCTGACTGTACTTCTCTTTCTAACTGGATGCTTGTGATAGCAGTAAACACAGTATTTAAAGATTTTAAAAAATATTTTTATTTGTTTTTCTATTATGTTTCCACCGTGAAATATAAAGACAAAGTATTGTTTTTATTTCTTTTTTCTCCCCCTTGATTACATCTATCTGAGGTGCTGTTCTGCGAATTAACAAATGGTGTGAATGGTATTAAATGTTCCCTGTATTCTGTTTTATTGTACTTTGCATAGATTAAAGCATGTATTAATTTATCTTGTTATAAAAGTTACGTGTCCAGGTAACTGTCTGTAAGGAATACTAGTGTACAATGCATTGCTTTAGCAAAATAATGGTTGCCACCCAGTATTAAGTATTAAAATCAATTTATTTGTATTCATCATTTTGAAAAAGTAATAGAACAAAATATAATGGGAATTATTAGGGTAAGTACTATCTTATAAAATATTTTCCCAGCATATATGTAAATGTGTACCTCTATCCACATATATTAAATATATATGTCTAATGAATTGTATCTAATTATGTATAATTCTTTAAATATCTTTGCATATATATATGCACACATGCCTGATGAATTGTGATGTTAAACTGTTTTATGGTCAAAAAGCTTTTTGAATATTGATAACATTATAAATACTTAATTGATTTCTTTCATTTCTTGTCAGTGAAGTATATTTGAAAATCTTTCTAGGTAATTTCTTAGGTCAAATATTTAAAACTTATTTAATTATTGGGAATAACCATATTTTAAACTTAACATAAGTAGTACTCACAGTTTTTACTTTTAAGAAAAGAAATTCTGAGAAAGAGTTACTTTAAGAAAAGTTTTTTTTCATTTGTTGTAAAAATGACCTAAAATCTAAAATCCTCATATTTGTGTCTACCTGAATGTATATAATAATATTAGTTAAATACTGAATATAGTTAGGTACTTAATTATTTTAGGGCCTTAAATTCTTAGAACTACTGAATAAGCATGATCATCAAAATCTAAGACACCTCAAAGAGTCACCAATTCAAGGACAGCTCTCCTGAATCTACCCTCTGTGAGCTGGCAGGTACTGGCAGAGGACCATTTAGAGTCTGACATATTCATGAGAATAAGTCTGTCTCTAAATCATGTACATTAAGGCTGGATTTAAAATAACAACCATCAGTTGCTCTACTTTTTCCCCTATGGGATATCATATTTCTGTCCCTTGTTGATCTTGGACTGTCTTACTAAGAAATAAGTAGCACATTCTCTATAATCTTAAATATTTCCCATTGTTCCTTTAATAGTCACTATACACTCTGTATAGAATGTATGTGTTTGAACATCTGGAAGGGGGTTAACTGTCATGCAAACGTTTTTACATCTGCTTGCTTTGTAATTGCCATGGCTACCTACGTTACCTTATCTATGGATATGAATTCAAACCCTTCCATGCCTTCTTATTCTTTTGTGCATCGGGTGAAGACAATGTGGCCTGACTTAGAGGTGGAAACATCATGCTAGAAAATGCTTATTACTAAAACAGACCGTTCGTTCATTTAATAAGAACCTGTCACATGCAGAGCCACATACATTTGTTATATTAATAAAGGGCATGCTGCTAACCATTGGTTTTAATGTTTTCAAACAGGCTGTGCTAATTTCCATCCCATAGCATGAGATTACTTTCATATTATTTCTGGTGTTTCTAAAAAGATAAAGGCAGTTTTGTATTGGAGTATTCTCAGTGACCAGTATTATTTGGGGAGGTAAACCAAAGGAAACAATAAAGGTGGTTAGAAGAACCGATTAGCTGACATTATATGACAAGCCTTGAATATTAATTATTGTTATATGGTTTGCATTTTTTTGTTTAAAAAAAGAGAAAAGATAAGAAAAGTAAAGAGAATATATAAGGTAAAAAAATACCCTTTTTTTTAAATTCAAGGGGATGAAGTTCTAGAGTGGAATGGTAAACCCCTGCCGGGAGCAACAAACGAAGAAGTTTACAACATTATTTTAGAATCAAAATCAGAACCTCAAGTTGAAATTATTGTTTCAAGGCCTATTGGGTAAGGCTGAAAACAACTTACTTCTTAAGTTTAGTAAATTACATGTATTAGCAGGGTTTTACAAGGAGGTTTTTACATTTATACAGTACATGTTAACATGAATAGCTTTTAAAATCCACTATGGGTATATATAATAGATAATAAATTCCTCTTAACTTTTAAAATTAGAATAGCGATTTTTCCCTATTATGTTAGAAGATCCACAATAGACCAATATAAAAATATTGATATATAGTTTTCACAAGCAAAATTTAACAAAATATTTTCTTTCAATGATTACTGATTTTTTTTTTGTCATTTCTAATGTACTCAGTGCTATTTCCTTTAAGGGAGTAACTGGCCATATCATCTTGTGATATTTAAATATGATATATCTCCAATAAATTCTTATTTTAATAGCATCTATCTCCAATAAATTCTTATTCTACAAAGGAGAAAATATTTTTGTGTATAATTATGAAAGAGTGACTTCAGCTTTTATATAAATCCAAGCAGAGCATATTGAATATTTGGATATGTCAAGTACTATAATACATGATGTTTCTGAAACATCAGTTTTAATCATGGTTCAGTAACCTACAGACACTAGAGCATTTCTCTCTATCCGTATAGAGGTCTCCATAATGTTAGCCTTTTCCAGCAAACTCACAAATTCCGGGCTGAAAATTCATTTACCATTCTATAAATTTTAGTAGGCATTTTGATCTGTGTCATTATAGTGAGCTCATTATTTGAATTTCTTCTTGACAAGTAACTTTTATACCTATTATACAAATTATATATACAATATAAATATTTATATTTGCCAAGATATTAGAGAGTTCTGATTTAACACACTTATGTTGAAAATCTATGAACATAGTGGAGCATGTGTCCTTGTTATATGTTGGAGCATCGTCTGGGTATATGCCAGGAGTGAAAATCCAATCACTTTAATTTTCACTGTTTCCATGAGTTTATATCAATGCAAAACATACAAGAAAACATAATCATCCTAATATTGATGGAATGAAAATGTATGATCATATTTCACAGAATATTAATATATAAAACTCTAAAATAAAGTCAAGCTTATCACAATTTTAAGTGGCAACAAAGAATAAACATTGAAGACATTTCCAAAAGTATTATATATTCCCACCTAGATTCTTAAAATAACACCATAACTTATGCTAGTTTTACCTGCTATACGCTTTAGTGCTGAGGTACATGTGAGATTAAAGATAGAGGTAAGTAAATTGGGAGAAAATTAAAAAATCTAAAAATAAAATTTATACTGAAGCCCTGCACACACATCCAGATAGATACTTTGGAGATACATAGTGCATTCAGAATGCTCAAGTAAAATAGTGATTTATTGTAAATTATGAGAGCAACAGACAATTAAAGTAGACTGGATTAACAATAATATTGCTGTTGTTTGTATGCATATCAAATAACCATCCCCATACCCAATCCCTAGTCCATCATGAGGTATGGAATTCAGGGGGATATGACTTTTAATATTATGTTTCAATGAGGGTCAAAGCTGCCACATGCATTATTAGAATAATTCTAATTCTAATTTCAATAACGACATTTAATGTTACTGTTTAATTTATTGACATAATGATTTCAGGAATCATTGTAGATGTAACTCACAACCCTTGATGAATGCAGATTAAAAGCACAAGCTGTTTTCAGATGCTTTGGGAAGTTCCAAATGCAGCATCTTTGACTTTTATGATCATGATTACTATTAAATCTACTGATCACAAGACTTGTGAGTAGAAATAACTAAGAAAACTCGTACTAACAAATGGAACTCTATGCAAGGAAATCTTGCAGAAAGAGTCAGTGTTAAATGTTGGCCCAAAATGATTCTGGAAATTTTTTTTTATTAAATGATTCTATTTATTACCATTCCAAATGTTGCCCCCATTCCTGGTGCCCCCTCCAAGAGTTCTTAGTCCCATCTCCTTCCCCTTCCCCTTTGCTCTTCCACCAACCGGACCACCCACTCCCATCTCACCTTCCCAGCATCCCCCTTCCCTGAAGCATCAAGTCTCTTCAGGATTAGTCACACCCCTTCCGCCTGAGGCCAGACAAGGCCATCCTCTGGTACAAATATGCCAAGGGACACATACCAGCTCCTGCATGTTCTTTGGTTGATGGCTTAATCTCTGGGAGCTCTGAGGGGTCCAGGTTAGTTGGTATTGTTTTAGAATTTTTAAAACAACTTTTCTCTGGTCCTACTGTCAGTAGCCCATAAAATATCTAAGAGTTCCACATTCTGAGTTTTTAACTGACTGTGTAAGATTTTACTGTGTGAGGTATCCCAAAGCTATTATGATCTAAAATTGTCAGCATCCTAATTTTTAAAATAATTCATTTCCATTTGCTCAGGCAAATGGAGAGGAACTTGCCATTGTAAAAAAAAAAGTTGTATTTCAGGAATGGTAAAATAATCTCAAGGATAAATTCATGGAAATTATATAAATTGGTAATTATATTACATTGTACTATACAATATATTTCATAAAATATGCAGACTAAGGTTTTATTATTTGTAGAAAATTTTAAGTATGGCTAATTATTAAAATCAGTTTGAACAAAAAGTAAGGATGAGGCATCAAAGAATAAAAAGAGAAATCATAATAAAAAAATAATCCAAGTTAATTTAGGTTGCAAGGTAAGTGATTTAAATAAGTAACTGATATGCTGATAATTCTCTTGATGATAACTCCAGTCTGCTTTAATGTGTCATGTTAATGCTTGTATCTTATCAATTGTCTTAAATTGCTACTAAAATTATTTTGAAAAAGAAGAGGCAATGTAGTCTCATAATACCCAATCTAAGATGACCCAGCATTCTGATGAGATATTAAAGTCTCAGTGGATGATAGATTAAGCTGAAGCGATCTTATGTTTTTCAGAGTGATCCGTGAGCATGTCAGGAATGGGTGTTCTCACGACTCACTTTAATCATGTAGTGTGATAGCTATGTATTCATTAAACTTCAGTACAGAGCTATGCATCTCTATTTGCATATGTATTTTATGTGCCATGTATATATTGCATGCACATACATGAAATATTTTGGCATTTTTTTTGTTGCAAGCTTGAACCACTGTTAATTTCCAAAGCAATTCATCCATTTAATTTCCTTAACGTTGCCCATGATATCCACTGTTTCATTTTATTATGAAGAGATTTTTCCATCACTTTCGCTCAGTAAACTCTTTCAGATGTGTTCGTAAAGCATATTACTGGTTTGTAAAAATTTGTGTCATTTTAATTTCCTAGAACTGAAACAAAATACTACCTTTAACATTTTTTTTTAATTTCCAAAACCTGCTGTTTTGGTAGTAAAAATATTGTGGTGATTTTTATCCACAATATTAATCTGACTGTCGTCATGTTAAAGAGTTTTGCTATTAAGCATATAAAAAATTTGTTTTTTATTGCAGTTTTCTTTTATGTGGTGTTTCGCATTCATGCACATTAAAAGTTACGTAAATAGTAACTCTCCTTCATTTCTACATCCCTTAAGACCCAAAAGGACTTTTCAAGGCACTGAGATAAAATGGGCGGTGGTTGCCTCAGGTAGGGTAATTTGCCTAAAGGGATTTTCACCTTATCTGTTTCTTTTAGCGACATTCCCAGGATCCCCGAGAGTTCCCATCCTCCTCTGGAGTCCAGTGAGTATAGCATTTCGTTGTTATTAAAAATATATTAAACAAAATTACAAAGTAAGATTCATCATTTTCCTAAGTTACTTGTTGTAGATGAATTAATATAACTGTTTGGCTGTCTATACTAATACCAAATATTGCAGTCCTACTGACTGAAAGATTCTTCTTTACCGACAATTTTCTTCTTTTGCCCATATTTTTTGTGGCCACACAAAGATCTTTGTTTCAATGCTCTCCTTTATAATAAAGTCAAGACCTTCTCAAAGCTCAGGTGTTATGTCAGGAGTGTTATGTTTAGGACAGGTGTTTAGAGAGAAACTGAGACAGATTACTGAAGAGTAAAGAATTTATTAAAATATTATTAACTCCGTGAAGAGACAGCATGAGGCTCTTAGCATGATGAGAGAGAGCATTAAGGAGACTTGAGACTCCAGTACCAGAGATAGATGGCAAGGCAGTGCCTCGGAGAATCAGAGCCTACATAGTAGAAGTTTTGTTCTTGGAGCTGTTTACAGCTTTCTGAGGATGGGGGAGGTCTCATATCAAGAGCTTGCAGCCAGGCCCTCTGATACCCTGGTCAGGGGAAAAATAAAAGAGTAGGGTGCAGGATATATGGAGCCAAATACCCCTTTGATGTTGACTGGCTTTCCTGATGAGTAATCATGGCACTGGAATGTCTGACCATGTTTCAGTAGCCAAGCCCTTTGATATCTGTGAGATGAAGACCACTTCTGACATTGCATTCTTACTAGTAATAAATCTGTTCCCTGCACACACCGAAATATGTATTTTTGACTGGGTGTTATGACACAGGTTTGTAATCCAATATCCTGGAATATAGATGCAGGAGATCTCAAGCTCAAGATCAGCTCATGTGACATGGCAAGAATCTGTCTCAAGAAAACAAAACAACAATAACAACAAAACTAAATCTTGCAATGCTTGACTATCCAGTTTGATTGAAAAGCAGCACAGTCTCAGGAACAGTCTAGACACATTAATAAATAATTACCATGCATCACATAATAGTGACTCATGTGGTATTAGAAGTCATGGGTGTAGTAGAGATCACTTATAGGGGTGTGTTTCACAGCTGTTAGTGTTTGGTGGTGAAGGAAGTATCTGATTTGTAAATATAGCCAGTCAGGCTCAGATGAAGTCATATGGTGTATAACAACACTTGGAGATAATCAAACTTGGTTCACAGCCTAGAAATGATTGGCACTCAATTAAAATTGGGGTTTGGTTCTCTAGGTATTAATACAGAACTCATCTTATATGACTATAAAATTAAGTTTTTGATAAGACAGTTAGTGATGAGAAGGGGGGAAAATCATGACCATGCCGAAGAAGGAACCAGTGGCCAAATTACCACACAAAACCTATTCCATCAGGTCCCCATAGCATCCGCAGCTCAGCCCAGATTTTGTTTTGAGCTTTCTGATGGTCAGTATCAAGAGATACATGGGGAAATTTCCATAAATAATAATAGACTTGATAACCTTGATAATACTCTTATCAACCTTATCAGGAAACTTCTTTCATGGAACATGGTATTAGATTATTATAAACTGTGTTGCCAGTCCATGCTGTCTCCTATGCCCTTTAGGAAGAGAACTGTGTCTTTTGTTTGAACCCCAAAATGAGGTTTAAATTAGGTCATCTGCAGCATTTTGTCCCTTAAAAGAGAGATTTTTAAACTATATGAAATAAAGCTATAAGATGTAATTTCTCTTTCATCAGGTTTCTTTACCCTAGCCTCACTAGCTTTTTAGGTCTTAAAATATTGTTGCTTATGATTAAAAAATAATTTGTTTCTAGAGATACCCATGAAAATGTGAATTCTACATCAAACAGTGTTGGCTATAGCTTTATACCAATTACAGGAACATTTACCATTTGGTTCAAGACTTTATTTCCACACTAACAAATGTTCATTTCTATTCTCATTTTAGGTTCAAGTTCCTTTGAATCTCAGAAGATGGAAAGGCCTTCCATTTCTGTTATTTCTCCAACTAGCCCCGGAGCTCTGAAAGATGCCCCACAAGTCTTACCAGGGCAACTCTCAGTATGTATTCTTCAGACACAGTGAATGACAATAGGATTTTTCTCTGAGTGCATCATTAAAAAACATCTGGCTTTCTGGGGCCTCCAGTGAGCACATAGCCATTTGATACTATCACCGACTTCATCACTGTGTGATGCGTTTCTTCAGCTCTTCTTTCAGTCACATATGTTTATGTAGAAATAGTGATTGAATATTGCCTCTGCCTGGCCTTAGCTGAAGAGGGCACAGATGTCTGACAGACACAGGTCAAAAGACTGATGATCTCTTGTAACTTTCTAACTGTGCTGGATGTTGAAGCTGATGGTTTCTGGAGTCTTAACGCTCTCTTGCTTTCTGGGGCTGATAACCAATGGCTTCTTTTCTCTATAACTCTTTGTGTTTATTTTATTCCTTAACTTTATCTTAGTGCTCTGTGCTAAATACCTAACTTTTTGTCACTGTTCTGTGGTTCATTAAGTGCTGGGTACTTCATTCTTTCTTAACCCTTTATTACTGTTCTGTGTTTCATTCTATTCATTCATTCAGGTCTTGTAGAATCATCATTAGGAATTAAAAATCGTCTGTCTTTCCGTATAGCCTCACTACAAGACAGTACATCTTCATTGATCTGCAGAAAAATCTGCCCAATAGGGTAGGCTAAGACCCAGAGATTGTTCCACTAATTTAATAATGTCAGGAAAGGCATATCAATAGCAAGAATCAAATTCCGAGACTTCTCCTTTGGGCCTTGCCTCCAGGGGCTCATTCATTGCAGTTCCATGATGAACCATCTCTGGAAGATCACCTGCTAGCCTTTTATACTCTCCTAGATGGCTCCTGACAGAATGTTCACAATGTGCCAATGGCTCTAAACATTAACTGGTGAATGGTAGCATCTGGAAAACTATCCATGCTTTTGCTATGTTACATCTATTTTCAGGGGTGAATCATTGTTCACATACATTCATAGAAACCCATATTCATTCTTCTTAACCACTTTATGAGCCCGATGCTAAGAAACTTAAATTTTAAAAATCCCATTAATGTCTTAGCACATTTATTTGTGTAAAGAGAGCACAGATGCTGTTCAAGCCCAGCTACCCATGTACTTCCTGTGGGTTTACTCTCTAACCTGGGGAACCTTGGAGAAATAAACTGCCCCACTGTTGAGAATTGCTTATTGATTAAAAACAGAAACTGGAATATTTGTATTAATCACTAAAAAGAGAGCTTGCCTTAAATAGTCCTATGAATATTTGAATTTTTATTCTTTGGACCGATAAGTCAAAGGAAGTAATTTTATCCTAATTATTATTTCCATGTGTTTTTATTTTTAACTTCTCTCTATAATATAGCAAACAATGTAACCTGTTTTGCTTTGTTGCCTAGACATTTACTTATTTCTTGGACTTACCTCTGGCTCTTCACCTATACCATTAACATGGGTCAGAGCCTAATTTGGTTGGATAAAAAAAGAAAACCAGAGGGTTAGATTCATGCATATCCAAATTCTGACTCTGTTCCTTACTGTGACGGGACAGTTTTATCTAATTGAGCTTGTCTTATCTGGACTCCATAATACAGTCACATCCCCACTAACCATTCGAATTTAAATTTATTACTTAATCAGAAAATTAAAAGTAAGTTCTCGTTTCCAGGACGACATTGAAGGAAGCTTAGTGTCTTGTTCTTACTGCAGACCTTGCTTTTTTGTGCTCACATCTAATTTGAGGTCACCATGTGTTTCCCCATTTGGCTCTAGCATGAAGACTTTATCATTCGGTATATCACTCAGCCTTCATGTTCTCTGAAGTGTTATATATGTATTAAGCCTTCCCTTTGGTTTGTCTTTCTCTCATAGTTACTAGCTTATTAAAATCTGTTCATAGAAATTAAATGAGAAAAATGTCAGGAAACAACAAACTGTGTCTGGTGCAGGATGGATCTGTAGTAAGTGTGGTCCCTGGCCTCTTCCCTCCTATCTTACTCAACTCTTGTTTTGGCTACTCTTATCGCTAGAACACACATTCTTTATTCTTTTACTCTTTTTTATTTTTGAGATTACGATGTGATCACATCAATCTTGTTTCATTTTCCTTTTCAACATCCTTCAGTATACCTCTTCTTGCCCTTTGAATGAGCTTTCCTTTAGAAAGCTCTTCTCTTGTTTCGTTTTTTGTTTATTTGCTTGTTTTAAAGACAGGGTTTATCTGTGTGTGCTGGCTGTCCTGGAACTCATTCTGTAGACGAGGCTGGCCTCAAACTCAGAGATTTGCCAGCCTTTGTCTCCCAAGTACTGAGATTAAATGTGTATGCCACCAGAGCCTGGCATGAAAAGTATTTCTAGGGATCTTAAGATAAATCCATTGATGATCACCAATTATTGCATTTGATATTTAAACAAACAAACAAACAGACAGACAGACAAGCAAACAAAACACCATGATGATTTTGATTTTCCCAGAATTAAAAGAACAAGCTTAGTTGGAATTCCCTGCCTTGAGATGTAATACTGCAGGTTTTCTCATTGTGAGTTAGATACAAAATGCTTAATAAGAGAAAAGTTAACTTCTTAATGGTTATGCTTCCAAATCACTCTAATTCCCTTATACATCAAGTCAAAATATCATCTTTTAAATAGAATTTTGTTTTTATTTAAAAATTATATTATCTCATGACTTTGATAAATAACACAGACTTTCCTTCATTTCTCCTAGGTGAAACTGTGGTATGACAAAGTGGGGCATCAACTGATTGTAAATGTTCTACAGGCAACAGATCTACCCCCTAGAGTAGATGGGCGTCCCAGGAATCCCTATGTAAAAATGTATTTTCTTCCAGATAGAAGGTAACACATGAATTTTGAGAAATTGATTAATTTCTGTATTAATGGGAAAAATGTTTTTCCTTTCTGGGACATATTTTCTTAATACAATAAGTAATTCTATTTAGGGGAGAAAACTGCATTATCCCATAAGACAATGTCTTATACCTTTTACTTGAAAGAGAAAATGGCTTTTTAAAAATATATCAGTTAGTAGATTCACTTCATTAAATTGTACCTCTATATATACATATCATGACCATTGCTTACATTTGTCATTGAAATCAGTAATATTAAGTAGAAACATTATTAATATTGTGCCCATAAGCACAATTTAGATTTTGATGTTATAATGTAAAAATAGTAAAAGGGACTGTAGTTCTGTGGTAAAGCACTCACTTAGCTTGCATGAAGCTCTGCGCTTGAACCTCACCACAAGACATTGTTAATAAGTGATAGCCTAGGTTTTTTATCCTTGAACAACACATTTATAGCATTCCCTCTAAGCTTCATAGAACACTGTAGAAGGAAATGGAAAGAATGTGAAAGAGAATTATAGTGGACATACTGTAAATCTCCAACATCTGGAATATTTTCAGTCAATAAACCTGCAAGAGTGCTTGCACTGGAGCTACATGCATGTGTGTACACACACACACCAAACACACACAGAACACACACTCACACCAAACAACACACACACACACAGAAAGTACACATACAAACTACACACAGTATGCACACCACATACACAACACACACACACACA